CTCAAAATTGCGACTGGGCCAAGGAAGCTCGGACCCAGCGCCGCCAGAAGCTTGTCCGAAAGAGCGGTGGGATGGATGGCATCGCGAAGCGGATACATCACGAATGCAAAGGCCCCGAAAAAGGCTATGAAAGGCAGAATCACGGTGTAGAAAAGAGCCTCCTTCGACAGCACATTCGACAGCTTGGTGTACAACAGCATGAACCCCACCGCCATCGGCAGGTTCACCCACGTCTTCAAGAACGGTATAATCTCGGCGCTGCTCCCCTTGGCGGTCACCACCAGCACATCCTTGGTGTCCCTGAGAATGGTATAATTGAAAAGAATGCAGAAGAACATAATCCCCAGCGGAACTATCTTCTTAAGCGTCGTTATCTCGACACCCAAGAATTTGGGCTTCTTCTCCCCAAGCTCCGCAGAGCCGGCTCCGTCGGCCGGAATCGCGGCGCTGGCTCTAAAAATCGGAACTTTCCTCTGTTTCCCCGAAATTCCGGGGTAAAGGAGCGACCTTTCAGGGTCCCTGGAGGCCGTCGGTCTCGCAATTGACGGGGTTCTCTCCCTGCAGCTGAGGCCATGGAGGGCGGAAGCCGGAGCCCGGGCGCAGAGGGCGGGCGCCGCGGCGGAGGGGAAACGAATACGGAGGGTGTGGAGAGGCAAGTAGGGGCGAACTTGAGGCTTGGGAGGGAGGGAAAGGAGGCCCCTTGTCGAGATAACTCTCTCCATGTCCCCTGGGCAGGCTCTGCAAGAAGAATGGCAAGAGGAGCCGAGCGGAGGAGATATGGAGAGAGACTATCCGAAAGGAGGATTTTGGGTAAAAGGGCAAGGAGGCTATATAATGCCAATCGACACCAGTTCTCTTAGGTTTGGGGAAAGGTATAACTGTTGTGGAGGGTAGATTTTTTTGGAATAGGAGATGCGAAGTATCTGCTTGTATTGACGCGTGGCAGATTCATAATTATGCAACACGTATTATAGATGCGGACATCCAGTAATGACACTTTAATTATTATTCCCATTCCCTATCACCAGACATATGTTAACTCCTCCATAAACCTGAAGTGGGGTCCGTATGTAGGCCGAGAGAGAGCCACATAAGATGAGAAGGCTTTTCTGGACAGAAATTTGGTATGATTTTTGGGTTGTTTATGCATGGTCGGCTTTTATATATAATATTTGTTAATGTTACAATGACCATAATACCCCTCTCAATTAGCACCTCCAGTTCGAATAATGGCTTTCCACGTGCAACTCTTACGCGTACGTCCAAGCGTGCCGGTCGATGCGCACTGAAGGAGTCGACACGATGGGATATCCCCGTGCGCGTAAGAGTAGCGGGTGAGAATTCCTTGTAGAAATAGTACCTATCTTCAGGTATATCCCTACCGATCAAATTTTGCACGAATCTCAAACCATGATGGAATAGATAAATTGACGAGTGAAACTCCACAGTGACCTGCGTCTCCTGCCTCCTCTGTAATGCGCTCATGCCATGTCCTTTCCCTTCCGAGAAAAGCCACATCTCCCTCTTCACCTCCGCCTTCCACTTCACGCCTTCAAACATCCACAGGCTGATCTCCAATATGTCTTCTCCTCTCCCTCGCGCTCCGCCGCCACCCACCTCCCTCACTTCGACACAATTTGCATTAAACTCTCTGTTGGACGCCTGCAGGACCATGAAAGAATTCAAGCATATCCACTCCCTCATGATCCGCAGCGGACTCGCCCGCTCCCCGCTCGTGAAGAGGCGGCTGCTCTCCTGCTGCTGCGCCCCTGGCTTCGGCGACATGTCCTACGCCCGCCTCCTGCTCGACTTGATCCCCACTCCCGAAACCTCCCACTGGAACTGCCTGATAAGAGGCCACTCCGTCCGTGGCGCGCCGTGGGCCGCGGTGGCGGTCTACGCGGAGATGCTCGCGAGCGGCGTCGGGCCGAACAGCCACACCTTCCCTTTCCTGCTCAAGGGCTTCACTCGCGACGACGCCGTCGCGTACGGGGACGAGCTCCACGCGCACGTGCTCAAGTTCGGACTCTCCTCCAACGCGCACGTGCGCAGTGCATTGCTTCGTATGTATGCCGTCAGCGGCGCGGTCGATACCGCAAGGGAGCTGTTCGAGAAGAGTCCCGAGAGAGATGTCGTCTCGTGGAACGCGATGATTTCTGGTTATAACAGGAGCAACATGTTCGAGGAATCGTGTAGGCTGTTCACCGCCATGGCCGGGGAGAGCATCATGCCCACCGCCACCACTTACGTCTTGGTGCTGTCGGCTTGTGCGAAAATGAAAGGTTTAGAGTGTGGGAGGCAAATCCATGGGCGTCTCATGAATGGCAATCTGCTGCCTGATTTGAGACTCGAGAACGCATTGATCGAAATGTACGGCCAGTGCGGCGATTTGGACTCTGCTTGGAGATTGTTCCAAGACATGCAAACTAGAGATGTGATATCATGGACTGCGGTGGTCGTTGGATTTGCAAAGTCCGGGGAGGTCGATCGAGCTAGAGCGCTGTTTGATCGAATGCCTGAAAGGGATCGAATATCCTGGACTGCCATGATTGATGGCTACGTGCGTGCAGGCCGCTTCAAAGAGGCTTTGCACGTATTCCGCGAGATGCAAGCTGCCGCTGTCTGGCCCGATGAGTTCACCATGGTCAGCTTGCTCACTGCCTGTGCACAGTTAGGAGCCCTTGAGATAGGAGAATGGGCGAGGGCTTACATGGAGCGCAACGGGATCAAGATGGACATCGCCGTGGGCAATGCCCTTATAGACATGTACTCGAAGTGTGGTCAAGTGGACAACGCGGTCGAGATCTTCCGCAGGATGCACAGGAAGGACAAGTTCACATGGACCGCCATGATCTCCGGTTTGGCCGTGAATGGGCATGGAGAGGACGCCATTGATCTGTTCTCCCAAATGGTCGAAACCTCTGTAAGACCAGATGAGGTGACCTACACTGGCGTTCTTACGGCCTGCGGACATGCTGGATTGGTCGACGAGGGAAGAAAGATCTTCTCAAGCATGATCGCGGTTCACGGGATTATGCCCAACGTGACACACTACGGGTGCTTGGTCGATCTCCTCGGTCGAGCTGGGCGACTAGAAGAGGCATTGGAGACCATAAACAACATGCCCATGAAACCAAATTCTGCAGTGTGGGGGGCTCTTCTTGGAGCTTGCAGAGTTAACGGGAATCTCGAAATGGCAGAGTTGGCTGCTAAGCATCTCGTCGAGTTGCAGCCTCATGACAGCGCTGCTTATCTGCTCCTGTGCAGCATGTATGCCAACCGCAACAAATTGGAGGAAGCACACAAGATGAGAGAGATGATACTGGTGAAGGGGATCAAGAAAGAACCTGGCTGCAGTTTGGTAGAGATGAACGGGGAAGTCCATGAGTTTGTGGCTGGGGACAGGTCTCATCCCAGGACTGGTGAAATCTATACCAAGCTGGAAGAAATGATCAAGGAGCTGAAGCGAGCTGGCTATGTGCCTGACACTTCAGAGATCCTTCACGGTGCGGGGGAGGAAGAGGCAGCAAATGCTGCCATTTACCAGCACAGTGAGAAGCTGGCGGTTGCTTTTGGGTTGATCAGTTCAAGATATGGTGTCGCAATAAGGGTAGTGAAGAACCTGAGAATTTGCATCGATTGTCACAATGCAATGAAGTTTGCCTCTAAGATTTACCGAAGAGAAATTGTTGTCAGGGATCGAAGGCGTTTCCACCACTTCAGAAGTGGTTCATGTTCTTGTAAGGATTATTGGTGATGGATGGATTCAGCTAAAAGCATGGGCTCTTCCTTGGATTTACGAGCCACCTCATCCATGGGCTCCACATGCCGGAATTGTTACAGGACTGCCACATGTGAAGGATTATTGATGAACTCGACACAAAGTTATGATTTAGTGGCAAGTGTGTTGACCAGATGCTGACCGACAACCTAAGTGCTATTTTTATTTTCAATTACGAATTAATTAATTGTACACTAGTTTGGTGGGTGCGTAAAAGAAGGCCAGACATGCCGACAGCGGGCAACTTCACAGTGTCCTATCGTGGTTAACGATCCACGCCGCGTGTCAAGTTCAAGGCAACTTTTCTCGTCTTCGGGATGAGCCGTTTGTGTGAGAGACACCATACAGCCAAAAGTTGGGGACGCGTCACTCGTGGCCCCCACCCTCTGGCTCTTCAAACTCCCGCTTCTCCGCGGTGAACGTACAACGCGCTTCGATTCGCCTGGGAAACTAGCTGTTCGTGGCGCTACCTCTTCTCTTTTCTTCTTCTGCCGCTGCTTCTTCCTCCCGGTACCCAAACCTGTCCTCGCGATTCAAGGTCACCTGTAACGCCTCTCATGGGCCCACGTGAGCTCCACCGCTATCGCTCCCTTCTTACGATGGGAAACTCTTCGCTTTCCGTCTCCCTCGTCCTCTCTCCCTTCGCCCCCAGCCATTCTTGATTTCGTCGAGGTTTCGTCTCGATCTTGTTCCTGGGAAGATATCAAACCCTTCTCCGTGCAGGTCGCGCCATTCTTGGCGCTCGAAGATGGGCGAGGGTTTTGGCTGGCTCTTGGAATTTGTTTTCTTGAAATGGGTTCGTTCCTTTGTCCTATTCTTTTAAGGCAAGTTTTGGTTAGTTTCATCTACTTTGGTGTGGGCTTGTAGCTTCATTCATTTCCCTTAAATATTGTTGAAAATATGGGCTTCTTTTTAGTAAAATTTTGCACTTTCTTTTGAATCGAAAAAGGTTACCTCCGTTCGTTTTCTTTTCATGATATTTCATTTACTTATAATTTGGAACTGGACGGGTTCATCTTCACAGGATTAATGGCTCTTCTGCCCCACATAAATGTTTGTGATTTATAGGGTTTGACTGTGAGGTAAATTTATATGGAAAATATGTCCACGATAATCTTTTTTGTTATCGGTGATGTAGGTTGGTGGCGTCTTTTCCCTGGGATAATGTCTCTCATAATCGTCACTTATGGAGTATCATCTTCTAATCATGTTGGTATGCCCTTTATAACTGGAAAATTTTGGTAAATGTTCAAGAAATCCACCATCCTGGCATTACAAAATCTTAGAATTTTGAGATACATCGAGATTAAATTTCATACTGTAATAGCTACTATCGATTAGCTCCATGTTATTTTTAAAAATTGCAGATAATTGATTACTACACTTCTTTGTTATCATTGGCCAGATGAGTTTAAAATTGTTGTTTTCTATTGCAAATGTAGGTATGTCCTTCTTAAGCCAGTGAAATGCTAGTGTAATTCTTCTTTCTACAATTTGATGACTTTTTGGGATCAGCCTTGTGCTCCATTTTCTTGTCCTTTGTAGTCCAATTGGAAATTTTTTGTAGAAATTTTATATAAAATTGATCTGCTGCAGATTTTGATAGTAGCCTCTCACATTTTGCGACTGCTCATTCTTGCTGATTATTATTGGTGATTGCCTCTTATGTAGGTCTTCAAGACATTAAGATCCGAGACGTAATTTGATAAATCCTTATGATACCAAACATCTATGTCTCATTTAGAGAATCCTGATAGTCCTGATTTTCCATTTCACTGGGGTGAAAAGGGTGAATTTCTTGAGGACAAATATGTCCAGTTTTACAAGTCCTTCACTTACTATGATGAGGAGTATTTTCTATATGATTCTGTCTACCTATATGTGACGTGTCAGGACATACCTTTTATTGGAAAAATTTTGGAAATATGGGAGCAACAAAGTCATGACAGGAAAGTTAAGATTTTGTGGTTCTTCCGCCCTAATGAAATTGTGAATTATTTGGGAGATCAGGTACCCTTGGAGAGAGAGATATTCCTGGCATCTGGCAACGGTCTTGGACTTTGCAATGTTAACCCACTGGTAAGTTTTTATTTCCAGTTTATCTCGAATTTTATGTAGAAATCTCTATTCATGTTAGAGTTCTTCTTGCCAGTATGACAATAAAATGTGTGCTTTATGCAACTAAATAAATATGTGGAACAATAGATATATGCTTAGACATTATGCATCTGAATATATTTGGACCCATGTATGCATATATGCATAAATGTCTGGCACAGATTGACGTGGTATGCTCATAACCATGGTGATGATTTGCTGTGCTCATGATCATTTTGATGGTTAATGAAGTAAGAAAAATAGGAAAACCCCAAAAGAAGAGTGTTATCACAATCTGGTCTGCCATGATAATTAACTTTATTGAGTCTGAATAATTGACCCACTAGCCTAAAATGCTTAAGCCTGAATTGACAATAGTACACTCATCAAATCTTGTAAGTCATTTTAAATCCTTGTCCACTTCCGATATGAGATTAAATATGGGGTGTCATATCCTTATGAAAGACTTGATGTCCTCATTAAGGACTCGCATAGCCCACAATCATGCATGTGAGGCTTATGCTAGTGGTGGCTCCACTTGATGTGTCTTCTGGCCCATCAACGGGTAGTCTTTTTCTACTTGAGCCTCTTATAATGTCTCAGTATTAGGTTGGCTCTAATACTAATTGTCATGACCCATTAGGAATAACTAATCATTTTACTTTGTTAAATCTGAACTATTGATTTGAAATGCTAAGGCCTAAGTTAATAATAGTCCTCCCATGAGGCTCTTATAAGTCATTCTAAATCCTTGCTTGCGTGCTGACTTCTGATGTGAGACTAAACAACCTCACTTCTGATATAGGACTTAACAGGGTGTTACATGTATTTTCTTGAGTTAAAAATAGAATACACTTGGAATAGCATAGACGGATGCTCCTCTCCTCGGATTGGTGTGGTGTGGTCCATCGGCTAGTGGTTGTTATTTGGCATGAGCAACAAGGCCACAACTTAAAAAAGTTGCATGAAGAGAAATAACAGAAGTGGCAAAGTAACCTCAGACCAAGCCTCTTCAAGTTTGATGGTTCAGATTGGTCATGTACAACTCATTTTGATCGGTTTGGTTGGGCTTGGATTGTTTTGTATCCAATGACATATCAGACAAAAAAGGAAACAAAAAACTGTTCTGGTACCACTACTGCCAAATGTTTCAGGTTGCTGGAATAGTATGTGCTGCATGATAGTATTCTTGCCTGAGGTGAAACTATGAACTCACATCACTGATCTAAATGTACAGGATAAGTGCATGATGATTTCAGCTTGCTGTCCGTTGATAATATTATGCAGTCCTAAAATTAGATAAGTAACAGTATAATTTACACTTTTGTCATGCATTCTGGTTAAACCATATTAGTATGAAGGTAACCCAGCTCTTTCTCCTTGCTTTCTGTATATATGTGTGTGCAACCTCTTGTCTCTGTATGCTTGTGAATACATGCTCATTCATTCATATCTGTATTCACTTATGCATTAACAAAATAACAATGTAGTTATTTGAGACTAATTTATACAGTAAAAGCTCTTTGGGAATTGTTGTCCCATTCAACTTATGTGGAATACAAATGACAAAGAGAAACATTCATGTTCTGGAGTAGCATCATTATTATGGTTTGCTGGCATCTTTCTGAATGAAACATGTTCATCTTTTTCTGTTTTCTATTACAATTTTTTTTGCTTAGATCATGCATTAACAGGACTGGCACAATGTGCCTGCTGGAATTGAGTCGCGTAAGCAACTATTGTACATTTGAGTTTTGAGGAAGTAAAATTCATGGGACAAGTATACCATTGTTCCTAGGACTGATGGAGTCATGTGATCTGGGAGCAAGTGTTTCATAATACCAAAATAGCAACAATTTTTAATCAGTGATCTGCACATAAACGGTTTGCCTTTGAAATGACTATTGAACTTGGGTTGAATCCAGGCAAGCCTTATCTATGGTACTTATTAAGGCCCTTAAGAATCTTTTATTTCCCTCTTACAATATTATTTTATTATTTGTTCTCTGCCACTCTGCAACTGTATTAATATCTTATAGAGAAAGATTTGTTTCTATTTCCTATTTTTGGGTTTTTCTTTATTAGATACAACACCATTGTTCAAACAGTTGTCCTTGAAGCAGGAAGCAATAGCTGGCAAATGCCGTGTAATCTGCACATCAAAAGACCAAAGGAATCAACAACCTTCTACTCAAGAATTGGAAAATGCTGAATTCATTTTCTTCCGCACTTTTGATGTTGTTAACTTCACAATATCTGATGTAATGCCTGATAAAATATCTGGAGTCAATGGCAAGTGTTACTTTGTATGTGTTCTTTAGTTACTAGAATTTCTGTTTTTGTAATCACCATGTGCCCTTTTGTTGCCAGTAAAGTATCTTTTAAATCAAAAGAAGGACCAGGAAGCTTTTCTTACTAAAAGTAAAACTTCTACAAGTGTGGCAGAAGATCGATCTCAGAAGAAGCTAAGACTGACTGATAAATCAACAGACCCATCAATTAATTTACTGACAAACAAAACGGTTACTGGTTTAAAGGAATTGAGAATTGAATGTGGTGAAGAAAGTGATGTTGCTCTTAAAAAATTAGAGCTTGGTAAGTGGGCCAAGTATGATGAACTCCAGTTAAAAAAAGATCCGAATCCAGTCAGGAAGGATACAGTGATTGACCACACATCAGATGCTAGCAGAAGCCAGTTTCTGGTAAGTTTAGACTTATTTGGTATTTACAAGTTCAAATATATGTAAGTAATGAATTGTGTGGAGTTTTTGTCAGGTTACTCTTCAAGATCTTTTTTGTCTGGCTCCTTATCATGAACATTTAGTTTATTCAATGTTCTTATTTTGTCATGTTTGCAGGACAGAAGAAAATGGTTTCAACATGTAAGTAACTCTTTAGTAAAAACTCTTTTTCTTGTTTATATCATATGAACCTTTAGACAAAATAGCTATACATAATTTCAAATTCAACCAGGCTTCCATAACTAGCATTTATTTAATTGTCTTTTTCAATTTCTTGGTAAATCAGATACATATTTTAACTTATGCATTTCATAAAATAATATTGGTTTCTGTTATTACTGATTTAATCACTGCTTTTAGCTATCTATCTCCTTGTCAAGTAATTTACAAATTGTGGCTTTATTTTGAATCTTCAATTCACCTTGTCATTAATTTACTTTTTGCAACTGCTTGAATTGGATATGGGTCAGAAAATCCAGCATAATCTCTATGTATTGATAGAAAACTGCTGCGAGAGATTGTTTCTATATCATGGAGTACCATGAACCTGTCACATATAAGGTTAAATGTACCATGTCCTAGAATTTTTTGAGAAAGCTATCTTTTAAAATCTCTGAGAACTACATAGCTGTGAATATGATTGTTGTTTTAGTCTGGCAATATAGAATTTTTTCTTACTTCCTAGTTGCATGTACTCTTTAGATTTCATTATATGAGTCAAACTGTTGCTATGACATGTAAAGGTCATAATTGGTAAACTTGGACCTAAGTTAATATGCATAAATAAAGCTGATGGCTTTTCTGGCTCACAGCACAAAAAACATTGTCATGGCCTTATGAGGCAGACCATGCAAAATTTGAAGGCTTCTGCATGTTAATATATTATAATCACTGCTTTTTTCAATACCAGATTTTAACTGCTAATCAGTTTTTTCTTTTTGATAATCTGCATTTGTTGTATACTAGATCTCTGAACACCTAAGGGAAACACTTCTAAGATCATGTTGTTTTAGCTAATTAAGATGGCTATTTATTTCTAGTATTGAAATCTTGTCCTATATGCCCTGATAGTTGTAAAACTATTAAATTCAATAGTTTAATAATTCTTAATATTTCAATACAGAAATGAAGAATTTTGTTTATTGCAGCTTGATATTTTTGTTTGTAATGCTTTTGCTGCAGTATCTAATTTGATTTGTACTAGAAATACATAGACAATTTAAGGGGTAACATACTATTCAGGATTCATAGAAAGATCACTTTTTGCTTAGATGATTAATTTTTTCTTGTGAATGCAATATTCAGTCATGGGAAGCACAACTGGAAGCTGCTAATCAGGGAGGAAGACTTGTGCTGCTTGGAAATTTGGACCCATCCATCACTTCGCAAGAAATAGAGGTGCCTTGCTTTGTTTGTGAATTTAGTATTCACTATTGACTACACTCAGTGATGCTCTTTTTGTGTGCAATCATTTGTATTTCTTTGTTTGCTTCAAACATGAAGAAAAAAAATGGAATTACAGTGTCTGCATGGTAGTTAACCCTTAATGGATTTTGTGAAATATTTAGTTATTTATCCAATAACAACTTTTGTTATTAAAAGTATGCCAAGGCTAGTTATGAATGTTTTCTTCCTATGATTGTCGAAGTCTGGTTTATTAACATATTACATGAATAGTGGGATATTATGTTAATTCAACGAGGATTGTTGATAATGTTTGCATTCGTTCTTATTGAAAGAGATCATCATATTCAGTTTTCTTTGTTTTTACCCTTTTTCTAAAGTATCAATAATATCTTTGAACTTGTGTTATATTAGTCACCAATTAGTTTGGTCCACTTTTGAAAAGACTGACATTAATGAAGTCTCAATAATAGCATGTCTATTGTATTATATTAGTTACCAATTAGTGGATACCTTTTTACTCCCTTTGGTCTACTTTTAGAAAATTTACATTAATGAAGTCTCAATAATAGCATGTCTATGGATCAACTGATATAATTACGCTCCATGATTTCATTCTATACATTGTTTTATGCTCAAGCATGCATGATAGGGGAATTAGCCCTTACAAGATACCGCTGAACAGTATTTTGTTCACCTCAACGCTGTCAAGCATACATGATGGTTTCTGTATTTTTATAAAATTTAGTAACATTTTATATTACAATGTATCATATGATTTAATCTACATCAGTTATTTCAAAAGTTCTGTTCTTTTATTGGTGAATATTTCCCGTCGTGTCAATTTTCTTGCCAGGTGCTTCTATTTGGATTTGTAATTCTTCTTTGAATATTGATGGTGACCATTGACACTGTCTATATGGGCCTCAAGCCTTGATAAAAGAAAGTGGAGGGTTGTGTCAATGTACTAACAACTAGCATAAAAATTCATCAGATTTCATGTATAAAGATTTTAAATTTTTTTATGCTCTTGATTTAGCAAGAGATCTTCCCTTCCACAATTTAAGTAACCAACCCCATCAAGATGTTATCAAGATGTTATGTTATGCAGGATCAATTTGATTTGTCACTTATTTGAATAAATTTGATTTATTTAGGGGCGACTTCACATATGACATAGGTCGTCACATGGTATCTGGAATAATTTTAATATATATTTTTTAGATTCCTCAATAATTTGAAAAAAAGAAGTAAATGCAAAAATTTAGATGACTTAATTCATGATTGTGATTGAAGATTACAAATTCTAATGGAAGATATTATAAAAATTGATAACTATAATGATGGGAGTTTATTGTCAAAAGAGGAAGAGTATTTTCAAGTGAATTCTGTAATGTTATCTTCTTCAAAGAAGGGAAAAAAAAGAAATTCTTTATTTGATTTGATGTAATTATATTTTTACTAATTTGTGTTTTTTCTTTTATTTGGGCTTTAAAAGGAATAAAATATTATAGTGGAGATTATTAGCTCTCACATTTTGTGTGAGTGGTGTGAGACTACAGTTATATTTTTAATGATATATCATTCATGTGCGAGACGTGTGGAATTACGAGGCTTTCATCCCGGGAGTGATCTTGCGTAAGAGAAAGTCTATTATTAGTTGTCGTTTTTTATATTATCTTTCTGTTATTGTCTTTCTCTTCCTCTCTTTTTATTTATATGTTATCAAAAAAGAATTACTCGGTTACTCATTTTACATCATTATGGTTTACTGTTGTTGTTGTGGTATTGATAATCATTCTTTGTGATTGCTTTTGTTTTTTTATTAGGATATCATGTATAAAGTTTTTCAGCAACAATGTCATGTTAAGGTCATACAACAAGCTACATTTCAAATCCACAACTATGGTATAACATGTTGTAACTCTTGTCAAATTATCTTGTTTTTGCTTGTTGGAAATATCATTTGTATTTTTGCATGATATTATGAACTATCCTTGCATCTTAGGTCAAGCTTATGTGATTTTTAAAGCAAAAGATAGAGCAGAGCAAGCAGTTAAAGCTATCAATGGTGGATGTCTAATGCTATCCCAAGAAAGGTACCAAAATTTTCTTATTTTTTTGTGCAAAGGTTAAGTGGCGAAGGCGGGATTCGAGCCCAGAATCCTTTGGTATACTGTAAAAGTCTATACTAAGTTAGCTGACATATTAAAAAATGTGCAATTGAGGTTTCGAGCAAAATGTGTCAATTGAGATTTCAAACCCATAACCTTTGGTAACAGGGTTTGGTTCACTACCACCAGACTAATGTTTAAGGTATAAAATTTTTTAATTGCATAATAATTACTATCCTACATTTTGAGGACAAGTATTTGATTGCATGTATGCATTACTTGCATGTGTTGTACACAGGCTATAATAATAAACAGTTGGGAAGCAGAGTTGCTTAATCCATCTTCAGAATATTTAGTGTCTACATCTTCAGAATATGTCTACATATTGTTTTTATGGTGGAAAATACTGCTGTCTATGTTGCACCCGTTTTCTATTGACAGATGCAAAATATAAAACTAATATAGAAGAAATGCTTGACCAGTTGGTCCTGAAACTGAGATCAAAGCATTGGTTATCTCTCGAGACAATAACAATTGTTTTTTGCTTCATTAAATATTGTAACACTAGTGGGTTATGGTTGCTTATTTGTCTTTTGAAACAAAATTTCTTTGTTGGGGACTTGGGGTAACTATGTGCTATCTTTATTGTAGGGGCACATTCTTGCTCCATTGTTTTTTCAATTTATGCTCATCTTTGGCTGTTATATTTTCTGGACTGTTAGTAAAACTTAAGGTCATTTGTCTTTTTTTAAAGCATGCTTATTGGTAGGAAATATGAAGCACATTTGCATTCATTTAAGCATGCCTCTAGCCTCTTTCAGCTTATGGATTTTCTGTATTTGGACTTCCAATTTAGATATTTCCATCTCTCTATCACAGCATGTCTAACCCAAGGACTGCTGTCTTATGCCGTCAGGTAAGTCTTGGTCAGTACCGGCATACCATATGTCAGTATGCTAGTACATATCATTTTCAGGAAAAAAAGCCTGAAAATGGTCAAAATTAAAAAAATACCTCTTTTAGGATTTTTATACTAATTTAATTATATTTTTATTGTATTTAAATAAGAAGAGAGTATGAATAGAAATTTTTGGTCACAAGGATGAGCAAATAAATTTACCTTTCTAATAACCCCTAGTTGGGCCTAAATTATACCTGATGACCCCTAATTGTGCCCAAACCAATCAAAATAACACTAATTAACTCTAATTAGGCTTTCCAATCCTTCTATTATATCCAAATCAATAGCTTGATTACTACTAATATCGATCAGGAACTTTAATCACAAATGAGAGTAGAAGAAAGAGTGAAAATGAGAGATTGAATGAGCGTAAAAGAGGGGAGCGAGAGAGGGGCGATTTAAAGCCCAAAAGGGGTCCTAACAGCCAATTTAATTGTTGGTTTCAAATTTGACCCGATTTGGGTTGGTGGTATAAGTCAAATTTGACCCGATTTGTATCGTTCAATATTGATCGATACAATGAGTTTTGTCTGTATCGACCTATACATCGCCTGTATCGGTCCGAAAGAAGCTGGTCCATGTACCATCCAGCTGGCGGACTGGTAAGTACCACCGTTTCATACCGTTTCGGATGGTACTATAGTCCTTGATCTTGCCAAACTGATAATGAGCAGAGATCCCTTAAGATATCTCATTAAAAAAATGAAAAAAAAAAATCCTTGAAGTAATCCGAGTGTTCTTTGTTTTGTTGCAGACCCCTTGTTAGCAGTATTGGAATGCTGAAGATTCCAGCAAAAGCATCTACTTTGGTCGGTCATTTGCCAACATACAGAGGAAGATTTCAAGTTCAGCGGGAGGAAATGGTGAATATGATGCCTTTTCCTTATTTCTATTTATTGCTTCTTCAATTCTACTCTGTATTTATGTAGTCTAAATCTCCAGATATGTGCCGTATCTACATCACATGGTTCTCAACCAAACACAATGGAGTATGACTTGGCGTTGGAGTGGTTTTTGTTGCAGGATAAATACCTCCTAACTCAGAAACTGCTACATGAGGTTCTTGGACACATTAATTCCTTCTCTGATATTAACAACTGCCTTTACCATGTTATGTCCTTTAGCTACTTATATCTAAACAAAGTAACCTTCTTTCAGAGCCAGCTCAAGGAGAGGATATACTTCAGGAATCACCTTAAATCCAAGTAGAGCAACAGGTTTGCATTTGTCAGTGTTGCATCTCCAATATGAATTACACACTTCCAATAGCTCAGTTACACAGTGGATACATATCAGTCAGAAATCTCAACTCTACTGCTCACAGCTTATCAAATTTTGCTCAAACAGAATTTCTTTCTTTTTTTTTTCTTTTTTTTTTTTGAGAGGTGGTGAATGCTGTCTGAACAATTTTTTGAATTTGCATCGTTGACCTTTCCTTTAAAAAAATTATTTTTTTCTCAAAGTAAAGCTGCATACATCTCAGCTCTGTAATTTGATTAACAATATCAAAGGGGCTGTCAGGGGTCTGTGGAAGTTGATAGTTATTCTGTATGGATGCATCAAGATCTTTTTTTATTTTATTAAAATTAATATTAAATATTTAAAATAATATTTAAATATTAGAATCCAATCATCATCTTTAATACATCTAAGATTTGAATATATATATATATATATATCAGTATTTAAATATTAAAATACAATCATCATCTTTAATACATCTTATGAGCCACATCACATCGCACACCCATCAATACTGCTTCCCTGGATTTGCTGAATCAACATGCCGATGTTGTCGTGAGAAGAACCGCCTCGTTCCGCCGCCCGCTTGGCGCTGTCCTTCAACTCCCTCGATCTCTTCCTCCTCGCTTCCCCCTCCTCCCCTCCTCCCATCAGCTCCGACACAGCCTTCTCTACCTCCTCCCTTTTCACCAGCACGTCACTGTTCTCTGCTCCCACAGCCACCCCGATTCTTAGCACTTGGACCACCAGTTTCTGGTTGAGGAACTGGTCTCCGAAGTTAGGCCAAGTTACCATGGGCAGGCCGGCGGACATGCCTTCCAGTATCGAGTTCCATCCGCAGTGGGTGACGAACCCGCCGACGGCAGGGTGTGACAAGATCACCATCTGCGGCGCCCACCCCCTGATCACCAGTCCCCTTGACCTCACCATCTCCTCGAACTCCTCCGACAGCCACCGCTCCACCTCCGCCGCCTGCTTCCCGGGTCTGATCACCCATATGAAGGGCCTGCCCCAAGTCTCCAGGCCCATTCCTATCTCGATGATTTGCTGCAGCGTGGAGCTAACGAGGCTGCCAAAGCTCACATAGATCACAGAGCTCGGCTTCATCGAGTCAAGCCAGCGTATGCACTCGTTCCCATCGATGGCGGCCTTGTTTCCTCTTGCAGCCATGTGGGTGGCGTCGCCGCCGCAGAGGCGCAACAGGGGGCCGATGGTCCAGACTCTCTTTCCCATGGCCTTCTGATAGGATTCCACGTACGGAGCCTCTATGTCGTCGAAGGTGTTGACCACGACGCCGTCGGCCCTCGACTCCTCCTCCATCACCTCGCAGCGGAACCTCTGCAGCCTCGGCCCCATGAAGTTCCCCGGCACTTGGGCCTTACTGATCTGGAGCCGATGGGGAAACCCGGGCAAGTCCAGCATCTGCGACTCATCAATTCCCTGCTCGTAGACGTTCTCCCGATGCAAGATGTAGCGAGCGAGGAGGGTGAAGCACCCGTAGCCATTAAAGACCAGCCGCGGGACGCCCAGCTCCCGCGCCATGTCCCCTGTCCACGTGTAGAAGGCGTCGGAGATGACGCAGCTCGGAGGCAGATGGTGCCGGCGTAGGTGCGACGTCAGCGGCTCCCGGAGCATAGCGCAAGCGCGCAAGAAGGTATCGAGGTGGTCGTACGACGGCAGGGCGTCGGCGTTCTCCGTCCCTTCGGGCAGGCCGACTTCCGCGCACGGAAAGCAGAGCGCCACGAACTCGATGGGCAGCCGGGACTCCTCGGCGCGTTCGATGATGAGCTTGATCCGCAGAGCGTTGAGCCGGGTGGTGAGGAAGCTGACATGGGCGCCGCGGCCCGCGAGCACATGCGCCATGTCGACCATGGGGATGATGTGTCCCTGTTCCAGGAACGGCACCAGGACGAAGTGTGGCTTCGCACCATTTCCACCGTTCACGGCTGTTTGGTTCGTCATCTTTGCAGGCGAAGGAATGGTTCCGCTTCAAAGAAAACAAGAGAAGAAACGAAGGATAACACACGGCTCGAACTCGATCTTTCTATATAGTCTCACTCTCAACTCTTAGAATGTTTCTTTCCGACTGTGGATGACTTCATCCATGGAGGCCTCCTCTTCTATTTGCCAGTGAAATGTTCAAACAACCACCAAAAAAGAAGGTGCAAACGGTTGAAACCACCGGCAAAGTATGAGATAGTCTAACTAATAAATTATTTTTTACACCTTCGGTAAATCTATCATCCGATACTTACGTTATGTCTTGAACGTAAGAAGAATCAGTCTCTATCCGTCTATCCATACGAGCAAGAATCAGACGATTCTAAGAAATATTTTATCTTTTTACGATCATATATAAAAATTCATCTTCAACATAATAAAAGAGGACTTAACTTTTTTTACCATTCGTGTTTGTACTTATACACATCGGGTTACTAACTTGAGCATAAGAAATAATAGGTACTTATACACATTGTGTAAGTGACACATTTAGAGTTCGACGTTTTTACCTCAAAGACATCTCGGATAATCCTGTGCATATAAATCTAGACTACATCGGGTTAACGATGACGTTAACGACTTCTTCTCTCAACACATCGTGTAATATTTTATTTTCATCTTTTATGTTGTTCTAGTTTGCCTGATATTTTCTTCAATAAAATGATGATTTATCGCATTATATTTTAGTGTTATTATTTTATTTTATTAAACTTTCATTTTATTGTTTTAGAAAGATACTATCAATTGTCTGTAGCCAATTTAAATTTTGTTCTTTTTTCAGGAACGAATGATAAATGACGTGCTTTAATTTCGTGCGAGGACCGAGCAACACCATGGCCATTAAATTAGGGTTACAGCGATAACACGAACGGGAAGTGTCTTCTCGTGGAACGATAAGGGTTTCAGACGAGACGACCGCCGGCAGGATCGGACAAGATCTGTTTGTTTCTTTTCGATGTGATGATGCTGTGAACTGAAGAATATATTAGACACTCATGCAATGTTGACCATGTCACGTAGCTTATATAATTGCATGTCACATATACATACATATATATCAAGGAGATTAGTCTACGGACAGGCATTGTCATCATCCACTGGGATTAGCATGATGACAAGACGAGATTGGAGCATGTCAAATTTGGTGTTCTTCCGAGAATGGGTCAACCATTATGAGAAGAAGGAGCGTTACTTCGATGAGCAAAAGCTAAGGACGACAAGAGCCTTATTATATATCGAGACCACCATAAGTTTCGGTATCTTGCAAATCACATGTTTGACGAGTTCTCCAAACGTCAAATTTCATCAAATTAAGTGAGATTGAGAAATTGGAAGTGAGTGCAACCAATAATAATTTTTAGTTTTCAGAAGTTTTTTTCCTTCTTAATAATCGGACGAAGATTGAATATGCCAGTGAAGAATAGATTTAATCTCAACAACAACAACAATAAAAAGCTACCGCTTTAAATCAAACGATCGATAGAAAATATTAGTATTTAACGAAAAATTACAAAATTGATTCTCCTTTATAAAAATATATTGTACGTGTAGATTGGTCAAATATCATATATGAGAAGGGTGCACAGATTTATCCTTTCGGAGCACGTGAGCAAGTCGAGGTGCAGGCATCAAGCCCTCTATTGGTGCGGCTCATAGGCTCGCAAGAAATTGTTCACTTTGGACGATAGACATACCCGCACAGTTTTATCTTTTTAAAATATGTGAACTCCAAAACGTCCTATCATCGTACCAACTTCCACATCTCATTAGCTCCACATGTCCACCAAATGGTCTGTTAAATTAATAAGACATGTGACTCCACTCGTAACTCCAATACTTTGATTAACCCTCTACGTTTGGGTAATGCTTGATGATCCTATACTGTTACGGTAGGGATTAAACACTCCCTTTCTCCAAGTCATTATAGGAAACCATTATAAAAGATTTCAGGTGCATTATCTCTCTCTCTTTGATGGTTAATAGTATCCTCAAACTTTCAAATCTCCTTATCCTAGATTAAGAATTACACACTCATGACTTTATTTTGTAGAACATTTTGATGTGATGATTGAATTTTGACATCAAGATTAGTGATAAGTTCGAACGTTAGGCCAAGGTTAGCTCTAAATACTTCAACACGAATATACTTTAACACCTATGTGTTTTTGATATGCCTTTAATATCTATATTTAATTAAAAAATTAGTAGTTATATGAAGAATTATATTTTAAATTAGAGGACTTGAGATAACGTAACTAAATATCTAAGTACTCTTAACTTAACTAAACTTATAATTTTTTACATATCTTAATGGCGACAAAAGATTCATCTCAAATAATTAAAATTTATGACTTTGTTGTTGTTATAGACCAAAGGATTTAAGAGAGTTAATCTTGAAAGATTATATAATTGTTATAGATGATGTGCCATCTAATAACCCTTTCAAAAGAGAAAAGGAAAAGATGGTCACTAATATTAGAGAAAGAGAATATTATAATTTATTTATCAGCAAAATTCTTCTTCAATATATATATATATAAGAGAAATTAAGATGACTGTGAATTCCCTATATCAGATGGAGTAATTGTCGAAAGTATATATTTTTTTGAGTAATAAAGGTTCCTCTTGTCCTTATTTATCTTCTTTTGTTGAATAGAACAGAAGCATGATAAAGAATAAAAACAAGAAAAATCTTCAATCATTGGAAAACATGACTTCGCTAGATATGACTTAGTATGCCATACTACATTGTCTCATGGATTGCATGTTATGTTATTCTTTAGAAACACCTTCATCCGGATAATAATAGAGTAATGAGAATCCAATTTGGAGGGCTTCTCTTTGGAGATTTGTGGATGTCGGCATTCGTTTTCCATTATGAGACGATCGGGCTTAGTCTACAGAAGCAAAAGCAAATGGAGGTCGCAGTTGGGAGCTGCTTCTGCAACGCTGCAACCTACCAAGAACACATCCATCCATTTGGGAACCATAACTCCCTTTGGATTAAGCAGAACTTTTCTTAATGGATTCCTTATCTGCCCGAGATTGAGAGAAAATTTCTTTTTTTTTCATTAATAAGAATTGAAATTTTTGTATGATATATACCGCCGTAATTTAATAAACTTTAATTATTAGATTGAATTGGTGTCCAAAATAATATATATTGATTTTAGTCTGTTTGATTTTGAAAAGAGAAGAAAAAAAAAGAAACTTAGATGTTGATTGAAGCTAAAGATAAAAATCACAAACGGGCGTGAGAGAAATCGAGATTGAAAATAGACTAATAAGTGGTCTCATAGATAATTGAAAAGATGTATTGAATTCGGCCCACTATTTAATAAGAAGCTTACTATTAATAATTTACTAGAAAGATCATAAAAATATAATTTTACTATTTACATCTCATCGATCGTCAATCTTACTCTTTTGTTTCCCACAATCCATTAACACCGCTTGTTGTCGCTTCATCGCTTGATCGATTAATGATCAAAATGAACTCTGGAAGAGCATAAAAGTTAAAAATATAACAAATGATGGTGTTTGCCTAGCACGGATTCTTTTATTATTTGAAGAAAAATAATAACCTAAAAAGTTCTTGAAAATCCGAGAAGAACCGAAGTAATTGAAAAAAATAAAAATAAATTTGGTGGGAGAGTAAAAAGTTATCTAATTTTAGAGATGATTTGATGTAATGATGGAACCTAAGTGTTCTCAGTTTAGCTCTCACAATATGAGTGGAGTAGAAGAAGAGGCGTTCTTATCGTCGCTCAGGCTCGACCTCGTTTGTCACTCATCAGGGAGGAAATTAGATATATTAAAAATTCTTAAGATATAATTTTAAATAGTAAAAAAGGACTATAAATAGAAATATTTTTTAATAAAATTATTTTTAGGTTAAATTAAGATTGAATTCGATGTATATTAATCTTCACTAGTGACTGTAACACTACAGTTGACAGCTTATCTTAAGTAAGATAAAGATGGAAATGGAAAGATGTAAGCAACTATGACGTGAATTTATTTGGAGATGTTCGATCCAGCATGTTAAATTCTAGAAGAATGATGAACTGAATCAACTGAAGGTGAAAGGTAGACGAAGCCACGCTCACCCAATTCCCAAGAACAGATGATGACTTTGACGGCGGCGTTACCGCATGAATGATATCACATGCCTCGAAGAGGTCGCCAACAAGATGAATGCCGTGTTTGTCTTCGGTCTCGTCTTCTTCCGGTGTGGCCCGATGATAACTAGGCAGATGAACCGGCTGCTCCCTCGATATAGAGGCCACCGATGGATGACCATCTCGTACACAGACCTGACCTGACACAGTTCTTCATCGTTGGAAGATGACAGGCCAACTCGATTTTAATGGCTTTGGTGATGGGAAGCCGCACTTTGTACTGGTTCCGCTGATGGCGCAAGGCCACATGATCCCCATGGTCGACCTCGGCCTGCTGCTCGCCGATCGTGGAGTCTCGGTCAGCCTCATCACCACGCCCTTCAATGCGTCGCGGATCAGAACCACCATCGACCAAGCTCGGGAGGCCGGCCTTCCGATCCGATTCGTCGAACTCCCGTTCCCCTTTGCGGAGGTTGGCTTGCCTGAGGGGCTCGAGAACATCGACGCTGCGACAAGCATGGAGCCCATGTCAGCCTTCTTCAGAGCGACCAGTCTCCTTCGGCGGCCACTGGAGCAGTATCTCCGAGAGCAGTCGCCCTATCCGAGCTGCATCATATCTGACCTCTGCCACCCATGGACGCTGGAGGTCGCCCGTAATCTCCAAGTTCCGCGCCTCACCTTCTTCAGCATCTGCTGCTTCACCCTGCTTTGCATCCACAACATCTGGTACTACAAGGTTTACGACGATATGCCCGACGAGCACGAGTCATTCGTGGTGCCGGGCTTGGCAGAGAGGATCGAGGTGACCAAGGCCCAAGCGCCGGGGTTCTTCGACATGCCTGGCTGGGAAAAGATGGCGGAAGAGGTTCGCGAGGCCGAGTTCGCAGCGGACGGCATAGTGGTGAACAGCTTCCGCGATCTGGAGCCGATCTACATCGAGAGCTACCAAAAGGCCATGCAGAAGAAGGTGTGGACCGTAGGACCATTCTCTCTCCGCAACAAATCTGTCGCCGCCATGGCTGCCAGGGGGAACAGAGCCTCCATTGACACCGACCAATGCCTGAGCTGGCTTGACTCGAAGAAGCCGATGTCGGTGGTTTACGTCAGTTTCGGCAGCCTCACGAAGATGAACCCATCCCAGCTGATGGAGATCTGCCTGGGACTGGAGGCATCGAACCACCCGTTCGTTCTGGTGATCAAGAAGAGCGAGACGAGTGAGAAGGTGGAGGAGTGGATGGCGGCAGGATTGGAGGAGAGGATCGGCTCGAGGGCTCTGGTGATCAGAGGGTGGTCACCGCAGGTGATGATCTTATCGCACCCATCGGTCGGGGGGTTCATGACACACTGCGGCTGGAACTCGACGCTGGAGAGCATCACGGCGGGCGTGCCGATGATTACGTGGCCGCACTTCGCCGATCAGTTCCTCAACGAGAGGATGGTCGTCGACGTCCTCAGGATCGGGGTGTCGCTTGGGGTCAAGGAACCGACGTACTGGGGAACGGAGGCCGGCCACTCGGCCGTGTCCAGGGATGACGTCGAGAGGGCCGTGAGGAATGTGATGGATGAGGGAGAGGAAGGCAGGGAGAGGAGGCTGAGGGCGAAGGAGCTCGGGGAGAAGGCTAAGGAGGCAATGGAAGAAGGGGGTTCATCTCGTGCCAATATGACACATTTGATCGAACACTACACGCGCCACGCCATGGAAAGCATGGAATCAAACGGAGATTAGAGAGAGAGAGAGAGAACGCGCTTTAATGCCATCTTAAATTTGCAGTCATTGTCATTGCATTCAAATGATTAGACCTAAAATGAGATGACGTTGACTAAGTTCCTTAAATTTCCGGTCGTTGTCATTGCATTCAAATGATGAAACCCATGACGTTGACTTATTATTATTCTTATTTGATTTATGGAGAATTATCATAGACTAAATGATGTTTTGATTTATTCTAGTTTGAGCTGCATGCAACTAAATATAGACTAATAATAAATTATGTTGAAAAGATTTATTCATTTAATTATATTATGATTACAAGAAATTAATTTAGGGGGTTTCGAACAAGGGAAGTCGCCGACCACACAGATGCCACGTGCTTTGAGCATGGGGACTGCAGGACCCGAAGCGTCGTTCCTCAACACACACGTTGACGCCCCCCTCGCCATTCAATTCATGCCGTCGACGCTCGTCAAGGACAAGTCTTTATATGGCCCCCCTCTTCCTGACCTTTTCCGCTCCTCGTCCCATCGCCCGCGTCCCCTTCCTCCCTCTTCCCGAAAAACCAAGCGAGCGCTTGGGTCGGAGACGGGATCGGCTTCTTCTCTCCCCATTCGCCAGCGGAGCTCGCATTCCAGGTCCCTCCTTCGAAGATCTCTTTGTTTGCGAAATCGCTTCTTGATTCACTTGGTGTTTGATCTCTGTTTGATGCTTGGGTGCTGGCTGCATTGGGGTCGTTCGCTTGTTCTTGGCCTTTCCAAGAAACGTGACTTTGATTTCCTGGATGCTTCGTCGCCGAATCCAGATCTATTGTCACATGATTTGCTGCGACGCTATTGTGGATTCTGTGTCTCGAGCCGTGTTCTTTTCGATTTTATGGGCAAAATACCACCTTTCCGCGCATGTTTCCTTGGTGCCCCCATTTTATCCTTGTTCAAGATCCATTCTTTCCCCTAATTATTCTGCAAGACGAGCAATTTTTTTTGGTCAAGATCCGATCTTTCACTCAGGTGTTCTTGGTGGTGTTGATTGTTTTGTTCAAAATCGTTTCTTTTTCCTGATAGTGGATGATTCGGTTTGCCAGAAGAACAAAAGAAACACGAGGTTTGGAATACCATTCTATGCTTAATGTTTTACCTTCATCAACTTCGTGTTGGAGAGGAGAGGAAGAGAAAGGAATCATCGCTTTTGTTCTTCTTCTTGTGATATATGAATGTTCTAATCTTGTTTCTCTTCTGCATTGTTCAGGTCTCCACTTTTCGATTTCAATCATCAATTTCTTGATCGAATCCCTCATTCCTGTTTCCCCTGTTGATCTCAGGGCGAAAGATCCCGCCTTTCTACCTCCAAGCGGCAGGTTACTCTTATTTCGATCTCGATCATGGCCGAGGCCGAACAGAGACCCAATGCCCCTTTGCTCCAATCATCGTCCTCCCGTCTCCCTGATTTCAAGCAATCCGTGAAGCTTAAGTATGTCAAGCTTGGTTATCACTACCTGATCAGCCATGGGATGTTCCTGTTCTTCTCGCCCCTCATCGCCGTCGTCGTCGCCCAGCTCTCCACCTTGTCCGTCAAGGACCTGCACGACCTCTGGGACCATCTCCGCTTCAATCTCATCTCCGTGATCTTGTGCTCCGCGCTTCTCGTCTTCCTCTTCACCGTCTACTTCCTCAGGCGCCCCCGCCCGGTTTATCTGGTCAACTTCGCATGCTATAAGCCCGAAGAAGCCCGGAAATGCACGAGGCAAGTCTTCATGAACAGGTCCACGCTAACAGGCTCATTCACGGAAGAGAACCTCGCGTTCCAGCGTAAGATCCTCGAGAGGTCTGGTCTTGGCGAATCCACCTACCTCCCTGAGGCTGTCATCAACATCCCTCCCAACCCCTGCATGGCCGAGGCCCGGAAGGAAGCCAGAACCGTCATGTTTGGAGCCATCGATGAGCTTTTGGCGAAGACGAATGTGAAGCCCAAGGACATCGGCATACTCATCGTGAACTGCAGCCTGTTCAATCCCACGCCTTCTCTTTCCGCCATGGTTGTCAATCACTACAAGCTTCGTGGAAACATCGTCAGCTACAATCTCGGCGGAATGGGGTGCAGCGCAGGCCTTCTCTCCATTAATCTCGCCAAGGATCTCCTCCAAGTCTATCCCAACTCATATGCATTGGTCATCAGCATGGAGAACATCACCTTGAACTGGTACTTCGGCAACAACCGATCCATGCTCGTCTCCAACTGCTTGTTCCGCATGGGGGGAGCCGCAATCCTCCTCTCCAACAAGAGATCCGACCGCAGGCGATCAAAGTACCAACTGGTGCATAGTGTTCGAACCCACAAGGGAGCCGACGACAAGTGCTTCAGTTGTGTCACCCAAGAAGAGGACGAGATTGGCAAGATCGGCGTCTCCCTCTCGAAAGATCTCATGGCAGTCGCAGGTGATGCCCTGAAGACCAACATCACCACTCTCGGCCCGCTAGTCCTGCCCATGTCCGAGCAACTCATCTTCTTCGCGACGTTGGTGGCCAAGAAGTTGTTCAAGATGAAGGTCAGGCCTTACATTCCGGATTTCAAGTTGGCATTCGAGCACTTCTGCATCCATGCGGGAGGAAGGGCGGTGTTGGACGAGATAGAGAAGAACCTGCAGCTCTCGGAGTGGCACATGGAGCCATCGAGGATGACACTCTACAGGTTCGGGAACACCTCGAGCAGCTCTCTGTGGTATGAATTGGCGTACTCGGAGGGGAAGGGAAGGATAAAGAAGAAGGACAGGATCTGGCAAATAGCATTCGGGTCGGGGTTCAAATGCAACAGTGCTGTGTGGAAGGCTCTCAAGACTATCAATCCTGCCAAGGAGAAGAACCCATGGATGGATGAGATTAATGACTTCCCGGTTGTGGTTCCCAAGGTGTCAGCACTCTGAATGATACACGATCTTTGTTCGCGAGGCAGCAGTGTGTCCGATTCAGAGTTGAGAGAAGGTGGTGCATCATCTTCTGTGTAAGCGAAGGATTTGGTGACTAGAGTTGAGAGAAGACATGCACCCAAAAAAAATGTCAGACTAGTAGGAGGGTCAGTAGCACTGCTTTTTCCTATTGATTTCGTTATTAATGCAATCCTTTGGGTTTTCTTATCAGTTTCCTTGTTTAAGTAGCTAATGCGTCTTGTTGATTGGTGCCTTTCTTTTTGTTGGTTATGATCATCCATTAGTGATTGCCTACTTCTCTTGATGCCCTCTTCCATTGGCTTGTCTTGTAAGTATCAGTATCAATGTTTGACATCGATACGTATCAATCAATATACTGTGTATCGATACATTATTACTTAATATTTTATACACACTAGTATAAAATATATAGTACATATCCTTCTTCTTTCTTCTTTTGTGCATTTTCCTCTTCCTCCACCTGTGACTTCGCCTTCTCTTGTTTATCTCGATACATTGGTTAGTATCGATTACGATTCGAACCGAATCATAGTCGAAGTTATTCGGTATATTGTGCGTCGATATATATCAATTTGTCGTGTGTCGATGCATCAGTATAATTCGACACGTATTATTTATATAACACATATACATTATACAGAATGGTACATGAAATGCTGATCATTATGATGCATAGGTTCTACTGGAGGTACTAAATATATTATATAGAGATTGGTCAATACCAATCTCCTTTCCTAATGAAACAATCTTTATAGATAGTAATGAAGTTTGATCTCAAGAATTGCCATAAGCTGAGATATGATCAATACAATACTCGGAGTTAGTCAACCTTTATCAGAAGTCACCTCGAGGTCCTAAAAGTAATGCTTTTGCAGAAGCACCATTCGAATGGTACACTGAAGAGAAGAGAAAAGAGAGTAGAATGCTGGAATCTTATGGGGTTAATCCCTTATAGTCTGGACTACATGAGTACAAGCAATATATGAATCGAAGAATCGTCAAAGATTGCGCAGAATCATAATACAGAAACCGGAAGAAGTTTCAAAGCCTTTTAGAACACTCTTAAGGTTCCTTTCGGGAGAAGCATGAAGCAAGCTGCTGTTCCAGGTTCCCTGCAAATGAATCTTTCCTGTTCTTAGGTTCTTCACAAATTGTGGCTTATCAGAGTTCACATATCTTTAATTACTTGCTAGTAAAGAAGGCTATCTGAAGCTGATCCTCTTCACACTTGTTCTCTATTCCTTTTAGATGATAATGCAAGCTGGAAGCAACTCTCCTGCTTTGACTTCATAGAAATAGATCTCGACAGAAGCCAAAACGCTTGCCTTGGGATGCAAGGAGGAGGAAGCCTTTAAATGCTTTGATCAGGCTTATCACTTGAAACATCCAGTTTTCATGGCTGCCGCTAGTGCGATGCGTGCTTCAGGTGGCTCTTTTGGCTACTGCTTGCTCATGGTTTGCTTGCTTCATGCAGATTTCTGGGTCGGCAGATGTGCTTCTGATGGGGAGTGTTCAGCTGAAGAGCTTCGAGCCCTTCTCCAGTTCAAATCAGGTCTCATCGACCCCGACAACCTTCTCTCGACATGGCGAGGTCGTCACTGCTGCCAGTGGAGAGGATTGAGCTGCGACAACCTTACTGGCTCTGTTACTAGCATCGATCTCCACAATCCATACCCAGATGTTGTTGATCCTCCAAGAGATGAGGTCTGGAACTTGAGTGGGAGATTGGATGCCTCCTTGCTCCAGCTCGAGTTCTTGAGTCGCTTGGATTTGAGCTACAACAACTTCGATGGCCTTCGGATACCGGACTTCTTGGGATCCTTGAAGAAACTGAGATACCTTAACCTGTCAAACGCAGGCTTTGCAGGTGCTGTTCCATCAAGCTTGGGGAATCTATCGGAGCTGCAGCACCTTGATCTTTCCTCACCTTTCCAACCATTGTTTGCTCATAGTTTGCAGTGGGCAACTGCTCTTACTTCGCTTCGGCACCTCGCAATGCCCGGCGTTGACCTTTCGCGAGTAGGATCAGAATGGGTTGAGGTGCTCAGCGGACTCCCTTTTCTCACTCACTTGGATTTGCGATCATGTGGTCTTTCAGGGATTGCCCACTCTCTTCCTTCTGTCGACTTTGCATCACTTTCTTTCGTTGATCTTTCATTAAACACCTTCAATTCTAAGGTTCCCAACTGGTTCAGGAATCTAAGCAGTCTCGTTCACCTGGACGTCAGTAGTGCCAGATTGCATGGCTTGATTCCTATTGAGCTCTCTGAGATTCCAAGCTTGAGATACTTGGACCTATCCATGAATGGTAATCTTACTGTCGATTGTTCCAAACTGCTAGCTGGGAGTTGGAGACGGATCGAAGTTCTTGACTTGGCATCCAATCAGGTCTATGGAAGACTTCCCGATTCCGTTGGGAACATCTCCTCTCTCGTGGAGCTCAACCTCTTCTCCAATAACATGGAAGGAGGCATCCCAAGCTCCATTGGCAAGCTCTGCAACTTGCAAGTGTTGTTCTTAGCCGGCAACAATCTGACCTTGGGATTGCCGGAGCATCTCGAGAAGTCTGATGGTTGCATCTCTCCACACCCTCTGCCTAAATTAAGGTACTTGAACTTAGCAGTCAATCTGCTATCAGGCGTTTTACCTGAATGGTTGGGTCAACTTCGAAATCCAGAATCCCTGGATCTTAGTTCCAACCTGATTCGAGGTCCAATTCCTTCCTCTCTAGGGAAACTCCCACTTCTTACAGATCTAAGTCTTGCGGGGAATCGATTGAATGGAAGTCTTCCACCTTCCATAGGACAGCTTACCAAATTGGCTAACTTGGATATCTCCTCAAACCTCCTCACGGGGACTGTAACACGCATGCATCTCTCAAAGTTGAGAGATCTGAAGCTCCTGGCGATGGGATTCAACTCTCTGGTCATCAACATGAGCTCTAGTTGGAATCCTCCATTTCAGCTTCGTAAACTAGTCTTGGGTTCATGTCAGTTGGGTCCCCAGTTCCCCTCTTGGCTCAAAAACCAGAGAGAACTCATGTACTTGGATCTCTCCAACTCTGGCATCTCTGGTAGGATACCCAACTGGTTCTGGGACCTGAGTTCCAACCTCTCTCTGCTGAACATCTCCTTCAATCAGATCGAAGGGCGCCTTCCGAGTCCACTAAACATCGATGCTTATGCTGATGTTGATATGAGATCGAACCTGCTGAGTGGCCCCTTACCAGTTCTAGCTAACTTCGTCGAGCTACTTGACCTTTCCCAAAATCGATTCTTCGGTCCAATCTCACACGACTTTGCCCAGCTGCAACCTTCACTGATCTATTTGTCTCTATCCGGGAACAATCTGTCAGGAGAGATTCCTGCTTCGATCGGTCGGATTCAGGGCCTACTGGTCGTCGACCTTTCCAGGAACAATCTTACTGGTGACATCCCAACAAGCTTGGCGAATTGCTCTTACCTCAAGGCTCTTGTCCTCGAGCACAATTCTCTTACTGGAACCATTCCAGCAGCTTTGGGAAGCCTGCAGCAGCTTCAGTCGTTGCCCCTCAACGACAACATGTTACATGGAGTCATCCCTTCATCCATGAAGACCATGCCCAGTCTCCAAACTCTTGACCTTGGGAATAATAGGTTGCAAGGTGCTATACCAGCATGGATCGGAGAAAGCTTCCCGGCTCTACGGATTCTTCGATTGAGAGGGAACAAGCTCTCAGGACGAATCCCAGACCAGTTCTCAAACTTGAGCTCCTTGCAAGTGTTGGATCTTGCAGGAAATGAGCTGAAAGGATCAATTCCTCGCAGCATTGGAGGCCTCAGAGCCATGGCTCGACCAAAGGCCTCCCTATACTTGTTCTACGGATTCTATAGAGGAAGTTATTACGAAGAAAGCTTGTCCATGGTGATGAACAACAGACCAATAATGTTCACAAAGACTCTCACACTGGTTACGAGCATCGATCTGTCAGATAATAATCTATCAGACGAAGTTCCCCAAGAGCTGATGACACTCTCAGGTTTGCTGGTTCTGAACCTCTCAAGAAACCAATTCACAGGGAAGGTCTTGGAGCGGATGGCCGACCTCCATGATCTGTTGTCCCTGGACTTGTCGAACAATCACTTCTACGGGAGCATTTTTTCTAGTTTGGCATCCATGAGCTTCTTGAGCTCTCTCAACTTGTCCAACAACAACTTCTCCGGCAGTATACCCCAGGGAGGGCAGCTTGGAACTTTTGGTGCATCGGCGTACTGGGGAAATCCGTATCTTTGCGGAAGACCGCTGAGTCCGTGTGATGTACGAACCGGCGTTCATGATGATGACGATGATGAGGTTGAGGAGGGTGCACTCGTAGACGGCTGGTTCTACTTGAGCGTTGGCTTGGGACTTGCGGTCGGTCTGTTGGGATTGTTTGCAGTGATATCGATCAGGAGACCGTGGAGCATTGCCTATTTCAACTTTGTAGATCGCGTCATCGATAGCATCACAAAGGCTAATTGAGGGATTCGATCGAGTGAGGAATTAACCTCTCTTCTTGTATCATCACAGTGTTGTTTCTATGGAATGGGTTTCAGGATTCGATCCAAATTAGACCTGGATGTCCGGTTTGGACTCGATTCGATACAATCCGATCTCGTCCTTGATTTGACCGAACCGGTCTAATGCAGGCGGACGTCGGCCTTACGGCTCCTGCATGCTGCCGATGGAAGGAAGCTTCGGGGTCCGGGCGAGAGCACATCACAGGTCGGTGTAGAGAGGAAGAACGCCCACTTGCGTACAAAACAGTGGCCAGCGTAGAGACAGAGCACAGACGCAGAGTCGCGTAGAAGAACGCCCCGATACAAACGCTTGACGGGCAGCAGCCTAGAAAACGTGTTTGTATACAGACGGCCAAAAATATCGCCGTCCGTCGACGTAGTAGAGAAGACGAAGAACAACAAATGTGATGGAAATACGAATCTTGAAAGACGAAAGTGCCCCTGCTTGTGCTTTCAAATTGCCGCCGTTGACATTGGCAGGCATCACCAAAGATTGATTCAAGATCTTACTGATTATTCCATGATGACCAAAGTTACATCTCGTATAAATGTATTGAGATTCACGCATGATCCTGATGGATCTAATTGCGATGCGTTCAATAATTTGGGATGGTTTGAGCATTGACTTGTTGACACGGCCTGCTTGACTTTCTTATCCTATGCACGATGACGTGGCGAGGCTTGATATTATCATGATCACAATCCACCATTGTAAATGATAGATTGGTCGAGGCTCTTCTCTGGAAAGCACTTGGGGCAATAACGTGTTTCCTACGAGGGTACTCGCGTCCTTCACCGGCGTGTGAATGGAGACACCGATGGGATCCATGTGTCTAGATTGTGGGGCCAAATGTTACGTCCAGTAACGCGGCAGGTAGGCGTTTGGCTAAAGTATCTTTGCAAGGAAGATCCAGCGACGCGGTGGGCATGCCGGTGGGTATAATGGTCTTTCTAGTTGTGGAAAAGAGCGCGAAGAAGGAAGAATAAAGGCGAAAAGGGCAAGGAAAAGAAAAGGACGTCGTTCGAAAAGGTCCGTTCACCAACCGCTCGATCAGTGCCACGTGTAATCTGCAAACTCTTTCTCTTCCTCCTCACCTGGCCTTATCCATCCGTTTCCCCCTTCCTTTAAAGCACACCTCTCTTCCTTCCCTCCTCATTTCACCGGAAACCTTCAACAAAGCAAGAAAGCGGGATCGTGAGAGAGCGAGAAATGGCTTCTGGTTTGGTCCTCACCTCGATCCGGCCGGCAGTGATCCGGGCGAGCACCGGCGACGGCCGCGGGGGGCGGTTGGCCCCCGCGAAGGCCGCCGGCGGAGGGGGCAACAGCTGGTGGGTCCCGCTGTTCGGGTGGTCGTCGGAGCCCGACTACATCGACGGCCCCGCGACGCTGGAGGCTTCCGGGAAACGGGCCGCGGCGGAGACGGAGGGGAAGAGCAGGCGGCCGGCGGGGCGGAGGTTCGTGGCGTTCACGGAGGAGAAGGCGAGGGAGCTGCGGATGCGGACCATGGAGACGGAGGCGTTCCACGACGTCATGTACCACTCCGCCATCGCCTCCCGCCTCGCCTCCGACCTCCCTCGCCGACCCCCCGCCACCAGGCTCTGAGCCCCAATCCGTCGATTTCAATCTGTCTCTAATATTTCGGCCCCCTTGTTTTCGTATATGGACATCAATCATTGTATCATATCAGCGACCGAATGAACAAAAATAATGTTTTCATTCGGGGTTATTTATCCCCCCCAAAAACATTTGATTTCTTTGGTCTGACAATCGTCTGATGAGGATCGGACCGTCAGGAGTGCAGATCTACGACGGTAAGCTATTTACTCTCGAACAGCAAACACGTGCGAGAGACCGTCGTCTAAACTTTGTTCCAGATCTGATATGTACACCAAAGTGATCGATTAGGCTATTACTGTTACTACGATATGTTAATGTTATCCAAAAGCGATGACGTCTTCGTTATCCAAAAGCGATGATGTTCTCGTTCATGTCCGCATAATATGTCATTGTAACATTATAATTTTGGGCGGCAATCCTGTAAATGAGTTCTTGGAAGAAGATTATTTTTTAGGGTTAATTATATATTATCCCTATAATTATTATCATAATATTTTGATTTTTAATTTTTAAAAATATATACTATGATAATATTATATATTATTAGTGATAAATCAAAGTGAAACAGAGCATGTGTTTAATGGTAATATTTTAAATTTAAATTTAAAATATATTTTTTTAAATGATCATTTTATCTTTTCGTTCGTTACCTCTTCCGACTAACCCAACCCATCGGCCATCCTCTTTATTGGAGCTCTCATCAAAATATAATAGCGTATGATAATGATATTTATTTAGAGTCAATGGTAAGCAACCCCATGCGTAATAGAAGGGGGTGGCCCCATGCGTGGCTAAGGGGGGTTAACCCTTACATGAGAGCTATAGGTGGAGAGAGAACCTCACATTAGACAAAAGGGAGATATTTTATAAGATAAAGGAAAAGTGCCGGTGACAACAAACCCTTACGCAAGAGCTACGAGCAATTGTAGATTCAACGAAAAGAAAAAAGCAAAATAGTTTTTTCAAAAGACAAGGGTACTATTTCAAAATTTTGAAAAGTAATTTTTTTTCAAGAATTCAATATATATATATATATATATATGTTGTAATCTTTTTAGAAAATTTTTCCATCTTGGGTATTTTTCTATTATTACCCAATTTTATATTTTTTCAAACAAGATAACTAATTTTAAAAAATATCTAAGTTATTCATTAAAATATTTTTTATATTTTTATTATTTTATAGTATTTTTAGCTTGTTACAATATGTTGCATACCATAACACAAATACTATAAATAAGCCAAATGAAATCAAAATACACTAAAAAATATTTTAATCATACTATGATTTAGATAATTATTTATAATAGTTTAAGAACAATATCACCCAAATAAAAATAAAAAATGGGCTTGTTATGGTTTTTTTTTGTCACCACAATAAAAACATGGTAAGACGCAATCGAAAATATTATAAACAATTTAAATAGACATTTAAACTTTACTAAACCAACTACAAGCTTAAAATATTATATAATAGTATATGGGTAATGACAATCAAAGAGGCACAATATGATCTCACTTATAGTATTTTTTTAATATTTTTATAATATTTATAATACTTTAATAAAAAATATTATAAATTTTATTAGAAATACTATAAATGAGTCAAATGAAATTAACATAACAGTTTAAACTAGTAAAAATGTAACTTTCCAACATTTGTTGTATGTCGTGTATTGTCGAGTGTAAATATATTGTATTAATTGAGGCATCGAAATAGCATTTTGCCGACGGAATTCAAAGAACCTAAATAGCAATTTCCACACAACCGTAGAAACCTTCAAGTGTTCGAGGCATTCTACAATCCCAACACAAGAACATCTCCTATTTCTGCATCAGTATAACTCAAGACACCAATTCCACCTGCAATAGGGACAAAATCCTACATCGAATAGGGATTTAACATGTTGACAAGGAATTAAGAATCTCAAGCTATAAATATAAACCCTTAGACAATATCCAAATTTCTCTCCACTTTTCTACGTCGAGGAGTTCATTCAATTGGCTTTGGCAGTTCATCATCAATTTTCACCTTTTCATCTCTCTTCCTCGACGTGTTCATGGTGGACAATTCCTATGCTTGTCACAGTGCCCTACAACTCGTACTTGGAATCCGAAAGGTACTAAACGCAACCAAGTTAATTTCTATATCATGTGACATGAAGTACAAGTAATGCATGTCTACATCAAGCTTAGGCTGAAGGACTTATGTTGGGGATCGATATCAATAAATAAGTTGGCAATTTGTCGTGCAAGAAAAGAATAAATGAGTGACAAAAAAAGAATCATCAAAGCCTAGAGAGGGTTTAAGAATAATAATAAAATGTTGTGTCGTGAAAGTTGATGATCGATTCGAATTTAATGTTCACAAGTGTTCAAGATAACAAGTTTTATGATGTGAATGATGTTGGTGTTAATATTTTTATTGTTAATATTCATATTAGCAATAAACAAAATAATTTTTATAAGTCGAGAGTTGTTCATGGTGTTTTTCATATAGTTTCTAGTCGTCAAGTGAAGATTATTCTTACAAATTTTGATTAGTGAAAGATTATTTTAATTTATATTTTTACTTGATAAAAAATCTAGTACATGTACTATTGAATTTCATATCATATTTAGTACAATACTAACTATGATGCCTCGTCGATCCGACACATAACAATGACTCTCGATGATTCGACGTTCGATGATTATATAGTTGTCGTACAATTTAAACAATCACTTACTCTAATCGATTATCAGAAATTACTATTAAAATGCTTAAGTATGACACTTTGAAGTCAATGATAGGTTCAACATAAGAGTTGGAAGTAAAATTTATGGATCTTGAACTATACATGGGAGGCTCCATTCATAGAGTAGTGAAAGAAATATTCAATATTCTTTACTTCGGTCCATGTTGAGTTGGTAGATTCGATTGCCTGAGCTCGATGTGATTCATCCAAAACATTAGGGTTTTTCATATGCACGCTACGAAATCGTTCATCGAACACTAGGTTTTTTGTTATCACATCATCCAAGTAAACCTTGTCGTCTCTCGTCTTCGTTCTCTCACATCGGTTCAAGTATTTGTTCTTCATGCTCCCAAGCACTTCTTCTGCATGATTGCTAGCAAGCTGTGGGTGTTGGTAAGCACCGGCATGTGAGCAGAACAGCGTAGTCGAATCCGAGTCACAACATGCATGCTGTGAAGACATGATGTTGGAGCAGACGAGGCCAGCGTGCATGTCCCTCCTCTCCCCTCCCATCCATGAGAGGACGACATGGACATGCACAAGGAGAGGCTCTCCCCCACGGTAGTGTTGGTGTAGACCACAGAATCTACGAGAAGGGACAACAAAGCTACAAGGACGGGGACCGGAGATGATGGTGGGGGACTGCCTCTTCTGGTATTCACTCGCAGAACCTCTCGAAATGGCACTCAGTTGGCTCATCTCCCATCATAGCAAACAAGCTAACATGGTGCTTGAGAACCCTAGTGATGGTAGATGAATAAGTGTGTGCCATATTTGATGTGAGACATCGCTTCTTCGATTACTATATGAGTCGCCTCTCTCTCTCTAAAATAGTAGGCCATATCTATCTCCTCACAACAACGCATATGATCTTGACATTAATGACTGTTCATGCCTCAAAAATTACCTGGTCCAACATCTTCTTGATACGAAGCTTCGGAAAGATGAGAGGGATGCAACTGGAAGAAGGGGATGGTGAGGATGGATGGATAGACATTGTTCTTCACTTTGAAAAGTAAATAATCATTCGATAGGAAGTAATTTGATTGATTTCCTTAAAGATTTAGTTGGGTGATGAGTGATAATAAAAGATTAAATTATTAGGAAATCTCCTTATATATATATACTTTAATATTCTCTCCCATGAAAAAGCCCACAATGATATCCCAAACAATGGGTATGGTCGATGTCACCATGATCGTAGACCATTCACGCGCATCGGTTTGAATCACGTAACGCAAGCTCTCGATCGTCGGTGCAAGCATGATCATGACAAACCCTATCGAAGCTCAACTTGCATCTTGTTATGCGAAGGCTAGTGAACAAGCTCCGGAGCCCTATGTTTAGGGCACAAGAATCCAGTAGTCTCCCTGTTGTGAAAAGATGGAGCACATGCAAGGTTACATCTTTTATTGTTGCAGTTTACAAGACACAGCGGTATGTTCCAAGAGGGACACCCCGAAGACATCAGCATGAGATGTGTCCCTTCCCTCCATATTACTGCTGCTCTTCTTCTACTTTCACTTGTTACTTTCTCTAGGTAGAAGAGTTTGATCTGCCATTAAGAACAACATCTTCTCTCGATTGGTGTGGAACACTTGAATAGAACCAGGAAAGAGAGTGAGAGGTTCAATGTCATGTCTTCACGCCAGCATGCAGAAGATAACAGTGTTGGTATGCTAACCTTCGAGCTAGCTCTTCCGCAGAGAGAGAGAAAGAAGTTGGGGAATGTGAAGGAAATGTTTGGTGGTGCAACTTCCAACTTCACTTAGATCATTTTTTTATTATCTACTCGATGATGTTGTCACTCTTCCATTAGCTCACAAAATGAGAGCCATCACTGTTCCATTAGCTCTCACAAGATCGATTCAATTCAAATGTAATTGGCACATTTTATCATCTTTATGGACAAAAGACGACACAAAAGGTTGTAAATTATCTAAGAAAATGTACTAAGAAGATGATCAATCTTTGCGGACTATGATGGGGTGCGAAGAAAAGAGGACAAAAGGGCTAGTGATGGATGGGACAACCTAATATAGGGAAAGGGAACGGAACGATGGATGTGTTCGAGAGATTTGACATGGGGGACCGGAATGTGTCTCTCCTTTTCACTCGTTGTGGCAATTGAAACCATATCCAAGTGGAACAATGGAAAAGAACTCACTGTTAGATGGGGCATATATAATCCAAGTGAGCAATATAAGTTTGTATTCAGGTGCTCATATATATATATATATATGTATACAATATTTTTAATATATATTATATATAATAAGAGAATTCAATTCTTATAAAAGTAGAATCGTATAGTTATAAATTATAAAGGAATTTATCCAAATTATTATGTTAAAAATGATTGGATAATTATTAATTATTAGAATAATTCACTTTATTACATCCATTTATTATAAATAGTTTCTTTCTAATGTATGTATTATGTCACTGTAAATTAAGGATATATATATATATATATAAGGAAAGACATTTTTATTTTTTTTGTCTATCACAAAGTGCAGCTTCCTGTCGAGTTGTGTGAGCTGCAGAGTGCACACAAGCATCGTATCTCCCCATCCCACCTCCATCTTCTTGAAAGCAACTCCTTCGCTCCCCGCCACAGCTGCCGCTGCTTTCTCGGCAGCTTTACTGACATCACAACGACAGCGACGAGCGCAGTCTCGGCCAACCTTCCCGGTTGGAGACTTGTTGTGCTCATTCTCTTGGAGTTCTTCCTCCAATGCGAGCACAGACCGACTGCGCCTCGATCACCGCTTGTCCTCTCGCAGCCAAAAAGGAAGCATTCGTCTTCCCCTCCCTCCTTGTCACCACCCATTAGAATCTCCTCTTCCGAAACCCACCCATCTCCTTCTTCTACAAACTTGTTTCTTACTCCCCTGCCTTGTGATAGCGACCTCGACCTCAGAGGAAGATGCTGCCAATTCTGTGTCTTTTATCCTCAGCAGCAACTACAAGCATTTACTTGGAACGCAAAGTTCCGTGAATGGCTGCGTGATGTGAGCCATGGCGTCATCACGAAATAAAAAGATAACCCTTAAAGCTCACATATACCTCAAACGGTACAGCTGCCATCCTTTGGAGTACGAACCACCCAATGCTGCAGATTGCAGGATTATTATGATAGTAGCTTTACAACCTTGCATTCAGTAGAGTTCATCTTTGTCTTCTTCTCATCAGTTTCACTGAATCAATTCTTTTGATTAGCGCAAGAGATCAAACAGTACAATCATTACTGCATTAGATGAGGCTGCCCTGCTCTGCATTGGATGTACATGGAGACCAACTATTTATGGACCAGCGAGCAGCAGGAAGGTGCCCAATACTGCCCTCTGCTTTATGTATGATCGCACATTTTGCACATCAGGGTATGTGATACCCAACAGAGTGCGTTGAGCTACCGCTATTACACGCTCTGGATGTGTGTGGACAATCCAATTTAGCTCTCTTCTCCATATCAATGGCCCTGCAACTGATACATACTTGTGTTCATGGATTGGACTGGTTTTCTTGAATGAGTTGCTTGGCTTGACAAAGACACAGATCTCATATCATGGCCTGATGTGATGCAGAGGTTGGAGACTCCTTCGTGCTCTATGGTCTGATCAAAGTCTTTAATTCCAGGGTTTCTTGTGGGCATGCATTGCTTTCCATTGTCAGCAACTTCTATCTGATTTCTAATATAAAGAACGAGTTATGATCCGTCTCGACAACGATGTAAGCCAACTTACAAGTACTCTATGAGTATGAGAAGAACCAAGACAATTAACGTCAGTAAGCCAGAAAGGATCGAGAGCTTTACGGCTGACAACCAATCCACACTGCTACTGTTCTTCTTCGTCTTGGTTGATCTTTGATCTCATTCATCAAGTTTTCTTCACAAAGACTTACGAGTTAGTAACTGTTCTTCTTCTAGTATTCTTTGTCTTGAAGAGAGAGAGAGAGAGAGGGTGTTGGGCATCGGCTGAGGCCAAGGTGGGTGGGGTGCATGAGTCCGGACGCCAAACCCGAGCATAGGGGTTGTGCCCCATCCGACCACAAAGCCCCAAAGATGTCGTGGTCTCATTAGGACACCATGGCGAAGGGAAAAAAAGGCTAAAGAGTGCAGGGTGACCCCTTCCCCTTCCCCGTCCCCTCCCTCCAAGGATGGGGTCACACTCCGTGTTGGGACACGCGCTGCTGGCGGAGGACGACGCCCCTCCCAGGTAGGCATTGTTCACTTCTTGCCATGTGCCTCAATTTAAGTGCATCCTTCCAGTTTGCTTCGACCTCTAAAACTCTCTCCTTCATTCTTATTCATCTCGACTCACACCAAGATATGAAGTGCCTGATTCCTGAGAAGCTTCCCATGCAATGTAAATGTAAGCAACATTATGTGGGGTGATTAGACGAGCATAAACCTACTATTAGTGTCAGAAGAATTACAGATAAGATCGATGCATGGCAGCTTTGTGCAGGTCCAGTATCCACTTGCAGTATCAACTCCCAAAAAGCCAACACACTTTTCCAAGGCCTGAATTTTAGGTGGATATTGAGGAAAAAAGAAAGGAGAATTCAAGCCTGTAAAGAGCTTAGCACACACATCAAGTCCTCATTTCTGCACTTGTACATCTGAAATCACCAGGGTGAGGTCTTCTCAAGACCCATAAATCGATTACTGTTGTCAGAAAGGCTGCTGCACTACCCAAAACCACACCTCAACAGTGAGCAATTCTAGCAAGTTCTAGGACTCATGATCCTTGTTCACTCTGGCTTTATAGCAGAGTGAAGTCTCCATGAGAAGACTTCTTTCAATCTCATGTTTACTGCTAAACATCAGTCACTAACCTCACAAGCTCTACATGGATCGTAAAAGAGAGGAGAGTACAACGGAGATAGGCACATCTGCCTGCGGCCAAGAACAAGTACTTGGGAGAAAGTAGTCAGCGAACAGAGATGCCAGTTTCGAACACCTTGTATAAAGCTCCTTTAATGCTGCTGCACTTAATCTGCAGAGCCTACGCACCTCTTCTTCTTCTTCTTCTTCTTCTTCTTCTTCTTCTTTTACCTTTATTTTCTCTGGAGCAAACAAATGAATGCAAGCATTCTTGCTGGAGAGCGACGCATCTCATAATGGAGCTGAGCCTTCTGAAGGCAATCATAACAAGTGGCAGTCTTATTCTTCTTCTGTTACACTACTTGTAATTTTGCCTTTTGAATGCCTTGTCTCTTGTGGTGATATGGCCCTCTCCTCCTCCCTCTCCCTTTCCTGCAAGAAGGAACAGGAAAAAAAATATATTGGATCTCTCTCTCTCTCTCTCTCTCTCTCTACCCCCACATTTGCTCTGTCCATCTCTATCTCCATCTCTATCTTTCTTGTGTACAGAGTAATATTGGATAGCAACAAGGAACCGAACGAAGAGAACACTTAGGTTCATAGACAGTTAACAAAGGCCACTTTGGTCATTGGACCCATCAAGACTTTGCTCTTCCTCGTTGACCCTTAAAACCCCGAGGCGGCCTCAACGGCGCCGGCCCTGCTATGCCTATATAACCCCACACCCCTATCCCTCTCTCTCCATCTCTCTCCCTTTCTCTCCTTTTCACCCACCAAATCCAGACCTGTTCGCCTCCTCATCCCTTAACTCTTTGTGCACTCAACCTACCCATAGATGTTGCTATAAGAGAAGACCCAGCCACAGTTGACAGAAGCAGTTTCTGCTGCTGCAGTTGTTGTATCCGCTAGCTACAGCGGCCAACAGAGTTGTCAAGAGGAGAAAAAGAGAGAATGGGGGAGACGGTGGGGTGGTCATGGAAGTGGTGCTTGTCCCTGAGTGCCATTGGGGCTTGCATGTTCATGGCACTCAAGGTGTTGGACTTCTTGTGGTGGAGGCCGAAGAGGGTGGAGGAGCACTTTGCGAAGCAGGGGATCAGGGGACCCCCCTACCGCTTCTTCGTTGGCTGTGTCAAAGAGATGGTTGGCCTGATGCTGGAGGCCTCCTCCAAGCCAATGATGCCTCAGACCTCCCACAACATCCTCCCTAGAGTCCTCTCCTTCTATCACCACTGGAAGAAGATCTATGGTACATGACTCCATCCACATCACTCCCACTCATCCTTCCTTTGTCTCCTTTTGCCTTGGCTTCCCTTGAATCTCCACTTTTGGTGTACTTTGATTTTTGAGGTTGGCGGTGGTTAGGAAGCTTGATTTCCTTGTAGTTTTGTTTTCTTCTCGGGGTTGCTTTCCATTTCTTCTTCTTCTTCTTCTTCTTCTTCGTGGAGGTGTGCTTCCGAGTTTTGGGCTCTGGTGTGGTCCATCATTTCTGTTCTTGAGGGTGGCGAGTAGGCTCCTATCTCATGTATGGTTTAGCATGTCCTCTTCTGCTCTCAGGCTTTTTGGTTCTTGTGGTGGTGGGGTTCTTGATCACCTTCTGGTGTTGCCTTTATCCACTTTGGTAGACTCTGATTCCACTTCAGCTCCTCCACAGTTACTGGTCCTGTAGATCCTCGAGTGTTAACGTTCTTGTAGTAGTAGTAGTCGTTGTTTGCTATCTTTCTCTCTGCTCCACTTCTGTTGCCCTGCTAAGCTGCTCTGCTCGATGACTGTTCTTCTTGGTTCATACCAACCAGAGGGTGGTGGTGCTCATTTAGTGCTCCTTTTGCAGGCTCCACGTTCCTGCTGTGGTTCGGGCCTACCGCGCGCCTGGCCGTCGCCGACCCCAACCTCATCCGCGAGATCCTCCTGTCGCGGTCCGATGTCTTCGAGCGGTACGAATCCCACCCGCTGGTCCGGCAACTCGAGGGCGAGGGGCTAGTGAGCCTCAGAGGCGAGAAGTGGGCTCACCACAGGAAGGTCCTCACGCCCACCTTCCACATGGAGAATCTCAAAGTAAGTCTTGTCTCCTACCTCGGCTTTTGAATCTGTACTAGTTGATGGCAATTCTCCTATCGGAGAGCACCGGTTGATTAAGCTTGCTATGGGACGATCAGTTGTTGATACCTTTCATCGGGAACACGGTGCTGGACATGGTGGGGAGGTTGCCCACCTCCGGCGAGGAGGTGGAGATCGATGTGTCCGAGTGGTTTCAGGCCGTGACGGAGGAGGCCATCACCCAGACCGCCTTCGGAAGAAGCTACGAGGACGGCAAGGCCGTCTTCCAGTTGCAGACCCAGCAGATGGTCTTCGCGGCCGAGGCCTTCCGCAAGGTCTTCATCCCTGGCTACAGGTATCACGTTACTATCTGTCGCCGAGCACGCTGAGTTGCCATCTAATAAGCAATTCGAGTGCGTAATTTTGTAGGTTTCTGCCGACGAAGAAGAATGCGAACTCATGGAAACTGGAGAAGGAAATTAAGAGGAGCCTGGTCAGGCTGATCGGACGGCGAAAGGAGCGGCTGGGTGAGGAGGAGAAGCCCGGCGGGGACATCAAGGACTTGCTGGGCCTGATGATCGACGCGAGCGCGTCGAAACAGGGGATAGGGTCTGCGGCGGCTGGTCGCCAGGGGGTGCTGCGGAAGCCTCCTCCTCCGCCGTCGTCGTCCACGACGACGAGGATCACCGTGAGGGACATCGTGGAGGAGTGCAAGACGTTCTTCTTCGCGGGGAAGCAGACCACCTCCAACCTGCTGACATGGACCACAGTACTCCTGGCCATGCACCCGGAGTGGCAGGAGCGCGCGCGGGCGGAGGTCCTCCGCGTGTGCGGCCGCCACGACGTTCCCTCCCGCGACCACCTTGCCAAGCTCAAGACGGTACGCTTCTGCCTTAGCCGCCACCTTCTCCCGCCACCCTCGGTCCATGATTCTATAGGGTTTTCTTTGCCTTCTCTTCTCCAGCTCGGGATGATCCTGAACGAGACGCTGCGGCTGTACCCGCCGGCGGTGGCGACGATACGGCGGGCGAAGGCGGACGTGGCGCTCGGCGGGCTGCACATCCCCTGCGGCACCGAGCTGCTAATCCCGATCATGGCCGTCCACCACGACGCCGGGCTGTGGGGCCCGGACGTCGCACGGTTCAATCCGGCCCGGTTCGCCGACGGGGCGGGACGAGCCGCCCGCCACTCCACCGCCTTCATCCCCTTCGGCCTCGGCGCCCGGATGTGCATCGGCCAGAACCTGGCCCTCCTCGAGGGCAAGCTCACTGTCGCCATCCTCCTCCAGCGCTTCGCCTTCCGCCTCTCCCCTTCCTACGTCCATGCCCCTACCGTCCTGATGCTCCTCTACCCGCAGTACGGCGCGCCCATCCTCTTCCGACCGCTGCCGCAGCCGTCCGCCGCCATCCACACCGACCCCGCCTCCTGTTAGAAGCATTATTTTCACACAACCTCGGCATCATACAGGTTAACCACACAGCCCTTGCGAGCTTGCGCCTAACATGTGACCGCCAGCACCATCACCGCTAACTTTGCCTGGAAATAACCTTCATACGTCACTTTCTCAGGCCTTCTTCTTCTTCGTTTCATTTACATCTCCAAATGGCTTTGGTGTACGTACTTCTGTATTATACTCCCATCCATCTTCTTCAACACAAATTGTTCATCTATGTCTCCTCTCTCCTCTGTTTCAAAGGATCTATGTTCTTATTCTCTGCTTCAAAGCAGCTGAAGAAGCAGCACCACCAAATCATCCACCAAAATATGCAGGACATGACGAGATGCGGAGGTCAAAACAGAGTGTTGAGCGTCGGCGTAGAACAGGGTGTCGTGTCGGCTAGCTGTCACTCCTCGGTACATGCAAACGCAGACAGAGTGACGGCCGGCACTGTTTGCAGAGCACATAATCTCTGGCGACATGGCGCGACCTGCTCGCTTTGGCGCTTTCCTCCTTTCCAACAGTCCTCGCCTCGTTGTTGCATTGCATCTCCGATCCCTCTGTGACCTAACTAATTACCCATCAACTGTCCACATCTCCATCCCGGAGGACAAACGCCCCCCCGCCCCCCTGCTCCGTACTCGCATTTAGATCCCCAATGACAGTGAAATATCACCAGCAGAGTAAGCTCTCTCCAAATCCTGCACTCATGAGCGGGATGGGCGGCATGTGGAAGAAGGGTTCCCCTGTCTCGATCTTTCTCATTTCTCCCTCCCCTGTATATGTAACAATTGTCGTTGTTAAATTAATTTTTGATTGTCGATGCTGATTCAGAATTAAATTATTTTTTCATTAATCTTAAGTTTATTTCACTTGACATCAAATTTATCCAATTCTGATAGTGTGCCTGTAAAACTACGTCAAGAGTATTTCTAGTCATTTAATCTATATTTTTGTGTCATAGTGAGAGAGATCGAGATGTCTTTGAGCATACGTGTGGAACTCTTTTATAGTAAGCTTCTATTATCGTTACTCTGATATCGTACTAAGAAAGTGGCGTGCATCATCTAGACTTAACTGTAATTGGGGTACATTGAATCTGGGATACGATAACATTTAATGAATTAGGTTTTATCATGAGGTATCAAGCATGTGGCATTGAGGTGTCGATCATGTTTTTATCCCTTTCTTTATCTTGAATGAGGTAAGACCCTAAACATACCGACAGATGACAAGTCTCTTAGGTTGGCCGAGGAGGTCGAGGGCCTTAGTCCTTCAGAGGTGAGGATTGTTGTTGTTGCTACTATGTCTAATGTTCTTTCTGCTAATTTTTCTCAAAATAAGAGGACTTGACAATTCTAGAGAGCTATCCCCTAATAGTGGTAGTAACCTACCAACATTGACTCGAAGGCGAAGGTGATGCCAAGGGCCCAATTGATATTTGCTCGTCAAAGTCCTCCTCTCCTTTTTAGACATCTTGAGATTCCTGATTCTAAGGCCAGAGGAATCTCGAACCCTAATGACCAGTTGACTTAGTCCCGATGAGCGCTTGTCGAAGGACATGACAAAAACATGCTTTACTTGGATTCCAAGCCTCTCATTGACTCGTATGATGTTATCATGAAGATCTATATTTGTAAAGAAGAAAGGAAAGGTTAATACCAAGACATGCAAATGAAAAAGAAAATGACAACCTTCGACAAGCCACTACTTGCTCGTTTGAAGGATGGTGGTGGACTTGAATAAGACGAGAGTAATTTGGAGGAATTGCTCCTTCTTCGACCTGTGCAACCTTAGAGAGGCATTGGAAAATTTTTAGGTGGATCAATTCAGGTTAATTGATAACTCATTCCTCGAAGACACAAAAAAGAACCTACTTATCGAGCCTTTGTTCGATGTTGGATCCCTTTTGACTTTATGGCCAAAGTAGGTGGAGAGAAAGTAAGCTGAACCTATGAAGCATACATCATCGAATGTAAGTGTTAGAGCTAGCCTTAGGAAATTTACCAAAGGATAATTTTGGCAACACAACAAAGACAATAAAGCGGAAAGAATAAAAGCGACAAGAACACCAAAACACCAGATATACGTGGTTCGGTCAATTGACCTACATCCACAAACGAAAGGAGCAAATTACTACTATAAAAAAGGGACACTTACAAATGCCTTAGGAAGATGTTCCTAGGCCATAAAATACCTTCAGCTTACTAAACAAGAAAAAACCCAAACCGTAAGCAGGTTTTCTTGTGGTGCCTCTTGTGTTGCCTGTGGTACATCTGACTTCAAAGCCCAGGCCCTTATTTATAGTTCCAAGACGAGACAACAAGTCTAATTTTCCCGATGTGGGACTATGGGACTTGCCAAACTAACAAATCTCCACCTTGGCATGTCCCAACAAAACTTGCTCCACTTTCTTCATAAAAGCCACAACGGGCAATCACCAACAATGAACACCAACCAAGTCCAAGCACTTCTTGAACTTGTAAACTGAAACAGGCTTCGTAAGCATATCAACTGGATTGTCCTTCGTATGAATTTTCTGAACAAGAACTTTTCCCTCAGCAATGGTATCCCATTTGCATCTAACAATTTTCTTACCCGAAGGCGGCTTCACAAGATCCCAAGTTCTATTCCGATGGAGAGACTCAATTTCTTCATTCATTGCAATCAACCACTTAGCGGAATTCTCACAAGAAACTGCATCTGAGTAGGAAGTAGGCTCACCAATTTCACTCGTCTCTTCTACAACAGACAAAGCATATGCAACCAAATTTACATATATTTGTGGTGGTCGAATATCTCTCCGTGGTCTATCCTTGGCTATGGAATATTGCTCTTCCTTTGGATCATCTGCGTCAGTAGACTCGGGACCATCTATTGACATTCTTTGAGTAGAAGAGTTCGACTTAAAAGAATCTGAACTACCAATCTCAAGCTCCACCTGCTTCTGCGCACTATCATTTGTACAAGTAGTAGAATCCTCTTTGGAAGATAACATAAACAATTCATCAAAAGTAACATCTCTACTGATTATAAATTTTGGGGATTTGGGATCAGAACACCATAATCTGTATCCTTTCACCCTAGAAGCATACCCAAGGAAAATGCACTTTTTAGCCCGAGGCTCTAATTTTCCTTCATTTACATGCATGTATGCTGGACACCCAAAAATTTTTAAATCAGAATAATCAGCAGGAGTACCTGACCAAACTTCCTCTGGAGTTTTAAAGTTAAGTGCTGCAGAAGGAGCGCGGTTGACAACGTAACAGGCCATATTAATCGCCTCTGCCC